AACATAAAGAAACATAAAGGCCCATTAATAAAAAGGAATAGAAACATAAAGAAATAAGAGCAGTCTACGGGCCATCCGGCCCATTCTCTCTACAGATGCCTGATGAACCTGCGTTCCAATTTATGCATCAAACGAAGGTTCTATTGGCATCACAAGGCACTGTCCTCACTGCTTTTCTGTATTGTTTTTTTTTCACTTTCAATGCTCCCAACAATTGAGGCTGCAGTGTTATGGGGTGTTTGAAATGAAAGAAATGCAAAGAATATTTAATGACAAGAAGGCAGAATACAATATCATTATTGACCTCAAAGCTGTAAGAGTGGTGCATTGATCATGAAGAGTTTAAAGGTGTTTCCGTGGACTCCATAATTAGGGGTTGGCAAGCACGGACAATAGAGGACACTATTGCAAGAATAGGAAGCTCTAGAAAGCGGGAGGACAAAGCTGAACTTCAATCAGTGTTTTTTATCCTTTCAAGCGTGAGTATGTTATTAGAAACCATTAAGGCAGCATTCTTCTAAGCTTCTCAAGGCCAGCTGGTGAGGGCAACATTAAAAGATGAATTGCTTGCTCTTCTTCAAGGCCTTAAATTAGCCTATGCAACAAGCTAGACCAATCTTGATTCTTGATATGGAAGAAGATTATCAAGTACTTATTGGACAGATGCCATCTAATGTGCAAGGACTATGTCCTTTGAGATACATGCTGAGGAATACAAAGCTTTAGACACCCTCACGAACTCGTTCAAGCAGGCACCTCATTTTTTTTATTAATGATGGTTCTTAAAAATTCATAAAATTCACCAATGAAAGAGTGGAATCTCACTTCCCAATTCCCATTAATAGAAAAGTAAAAACCAATACAACATAGTTCACAGTTGATTCCCTTTGTTATATGTTCACATTTTGTAACAAATCCACCCCCAGACCTGGAGGGCCTGAAACCAATTCAGATCCAGTTGAAGAAGCAATTCATATTCAATGCTCCTTATCTTCTCTTACCATATTTCTAAGAGTCCTGGGGTAAAGTTACAGAAATGAACTTCAACAAAAGTCTCATTATTTTTTGTGAGCATGGAGATGAGTTGGGGGCGAGAAACCCAAGGATGCTGGTGAACCTTGTTGAAAAAGTGACAAATCTGAGGGTGAACTTCAATAAAAGTCTGGTGGAGGGATCAATTTAGCTCAAGAAGAGGTTAACCTGTGGGCTGAGGAGCTAGGTTGTTTAAGAAGTGATTGGCCACTGAAGTACCTAGGCCTTCCTCTTGGTGCAAATCCTAGAAATTTAGACTTTTGGAATCCAGTAGTGGAAAGGTTTGAAAAGAAATTGGCTGCATGGAAGAGAAATTATATTTCTTTGGGGGGCAGAATTACTCTCATTAAGTCTACCCTAGCAAACCTTCTAGTTTACTACCTCTTGGTGTTTTATATGCCTCAAGCTATTGGAAAGAAGTTAGAGAGAATAATGAGGGATTTCTTGTGGGAATCAGGTCAGAAGAAGAAAGATCATTTAGTAAGATGGGATCTAGTAAATAGGAGGAAAGAGTATAGAAGATTGGGGCTAGGGAGATTGAAGGAAAGGAACGAGGCTTTACTAGGTAAGTGGTTATGGATGTACCCACACGAAATAGACAAAGTTGTGGCACAAGATTGTGACTAGCATACACGGTCTCTCAGAGAATGGCTGGGATGCTGGAGTGTCTAGTAGGGCTTCAGCGCATCACCTCGGAAAGCAATTCACAAACTCCTTTCATTTCTTCTCAATCATGTCAGGTTTGATCTCAATTCAGGTAACAAAGTTAATTTTTGGGAAGATGTGTGGGTGGGTGGGTGACTCTTCTTTAAAGACCTTATTACCCTCAATTTATGCCCTATCCTGTCTTAAGGGCAAACCGGTTGCTGATTTCCTTTCCCCTTCTCCCTCATAGTCTGGTTTTGCTTGGAATCTGGGTCTCCGTAGAAATGTGAGAGATTCTGAGCTGGGTTTGGTGTCTTCTATTCTTCAATTGCTTGACAGGGTATTTATTGATCCTTCTAAGCAAGATACTAGGCTCTGGACTCCTAATCCCTCTGGAGATTTTAGTTGTGCGTCCTTTTTTAAAATCTTGATCTCTCCTCAATCTGGGGTACAATTCCCAGTCCAAGAAGTTTGGAGTCGCCCTATTCCCCCCAAAGTGGGTGCTTTCTGTTGGGAGGTCTACCATGGTGCAATTAACACCTGTGATCTGATGCAGAGGAAGAGGCCTGGATGGTGCCTTTCACCCAATGGGTGCTATTTGTGTGAGTCAAATGGTGAAACTGCTCTCCATATATTTGTCTCCTATCCTGTTGCTAGCTGCATTTGGGAATGGTTCTTTTCTCTCTTTGGATGCAGGTAGGATACCCCAGTGAGCTTGGCCGGTCAGCCCTGCCCCAATGGAGCTTCGGAGTCTGCCGGCAGCGCAGTTCTCTGTTTGATGCCTCTACTTTCAGATGACCAAAGGGAAGAAGCAGAACTCTGTGGAGATGCACACAGGCAGCAATTCTTTGGATGCTATGGGAGGAAAGAAATCTGAGAATTTTTTAAGGAAAGAAAAGGTGCAAGGAAATACTGATAGAAGGGGTTATGATAAAAGTGATATCATGGGTGAAATCTCTAGGATTATTCTCAGATTATACTGCAGATGATATAAACAGAAATTGGAGGACTGTAGCATCCCCATCATCAGCAGAAAAAGAAGATTTCAAGGAACTGGGATCCCCCTGAATCTGGTTTTCTCAAATTAAATGGGAGCAGCTTTGCAACCCAGGTATGGCTGGAATTGGAGGGATCATAAGAAATGACAGGGGGAATGTATTGGGACTGTATTCGGGCCCTATTGGATGGGGAGACTCCACTACAGCTGAACTAAAAGCAGTGGTTTTGGGGATACAAAAAAAGCTGTGAAAATAGGTGTAAGAAAGATGGTTGTAGAAGGCAACTCCAAAGTAATTATAAGCTGGCTAAAGTAGAATGGAAAGACTTCATGCCTTCATGGGTGTTCAGAAATGAAATCAAAAAGCTTAATCACATAACCAAGGGCATGCAGTTATTATTTCAGTGGACTCCAAGAGCAGCAAATGGTTTAGCAGATCAGCTAGCGAAGCAAGGGGTTAACAGGGAACATTGTTTTAGGGCTCAGTTGTAAGACTGTAAAGCAAAAGTTAATAGATGGAAAGGTTTAAAGTCTAATGGGGTATCTGAGGCTACTCAATTTCTGTACTATTTCTCATCTCATTTTTCTTAATAAAATTGCCTTTGCTGATCAAAAAAAAAAAGTTACAGAAATGAACTAGGAAATTACCACTTGTTAGTTGACTTCTACAACCAGATACCAGATTGTTGTAATTGGAAGAGTGAGCTAGCCTTAAACCTTGCAAAATGGCAAGCATTTATGCTTTCAATGAGTTTGATTCTCCCACTAGTCCTGGATTACAATAGCAACAGCCACCAAAATTCAGTTTTCTGTATCCCATTTCAGGGGGTATCCAAAGATGATGAGTACGTTGTCTTCTTTGAGAACAATCAACTCCAATGGGCCCTCCTTTCAAGATTGAGTCCATAGGAATTCCCTTGGTTTCCTCCCCATTCAACCTAATAAACAAGTTTAAGAGCGTGTCCAGTTAAATATATTCTGCTAATGGTGCTGCCTGCTATGTTTCACATAGTTCTTGAATTGTTCCTGCTACTAGATATTTTTCAGATAATCTTAAAATAGCAGGAGCTTTCATCTTTCTATATCAATAAAAATCCTATTGACTTTCTCATTGATAAAGAAAAAATAAGAAGAAAACATTGATGTTGAACTTGTATGCACACCAAGAATGTAATATTACATCATGTGAAACGAAGAAGATTTCTTTAATTTTGCATTAAATTATTATAGAATTTGGAGTTTGGACCCAAATGCCTCAGAAAACATGAAACAAGTAATAAATATAAAGTGCAACAAAAGAATAATACAACTGCAATCAACTCTTCTGCTTTATTTGTTAAAATGTAGCAAGATTATGCAGAAACAAATGATCCAAACGATGAGATATTCTGGCATGGTGTTGAAAGGGACAATCTTATTTTTGTCCAAATAAATATTCAGTAATATGAAACTCAATTTCATTGTACTTCGTAATGAGCATGGGCTATTAAAGCCAAAGAAGCACCACCAAAGACTATATGATAGTGAATTGAAGTGAACCACTAGAAAGTAAAAAACGAGACAGAATCCATAGTTGAACAAATCAGCCTACCAAGATTAAACAGCAGTTTTCAAGTTCAATGACCAAAAAAATTTCAAGCTCAGGAATTTACTTCAACATAGCTGATTTTGAACTCAACTCAATAAAAATGATAATAACAAGTACAAAGTCCAGATTCTCCTAAAAGGAACCTAACCAAGACACTCAGGTTTAAAAAGTAAAGAATTTGTATTTGAAACTGGGAAAAAAACATATCTTTAACCATTGCAGACTAAAAATTAAGATTTAACATTCTTGTGAAGAGAACGGAAAAAAAGTGTACATCTCTTAGAGAAAACTTTGTAATTAACCATAGCAATTTTTGCCAGGCTGTGACAGAGATATCTGATAAAAATATGGAAGGAAATAGCAAGAAGTCATGCTCACACATTTAAAAATCAAATAAAAATGTATCAGAAGTTCGTATTTGAGAAAGTTTTAAAGATGTCATATGGAACTAAGTCAAAAAATAATGTATACATCAAATAGGGGAAACTTGAGTCCTCTTTTCGAAGAACAAGATAAAAAGACCACATAACAAGGATATATGTAAGACAAGAAGTACTTACTTAGCATCAGATGATATCTGAATGATAATGAGCCTCAAAAACACCCATTATGGCTATATGGAACCACAGTTCCTCATAAAGATGACTCCCTTGAATTGTTTGCAATAAGTAGTCAAGCAAGACATTCTTAGACTAAAAGTTCAGAAGTTGAGAAACTAGAGGAGTGACACCACCTGGCTGAGAAAGTGAGCATGCTCAAAAGGCATAAAACAATGCAAGTTAAACCACTTCCATACAAGTTCCAAGGACAACATATGAAGGCATCAGGGCACCAAACCCAAATTTCACTGCAATTTTAGCAATGCTCCATCCTAATGGAGCAAAACTAGTGGAAGGAAATGATTTCCCTAAAAATGGAATGGAACCAAAGATTCTTTTCATTCTCAAATATAGCTCTTTATTTTGCAATTTCAAATGAATCAGCGCGGGAAAACTTTGCCCTTCTGCCTGCATGTCAACATTAGAAAATCCACAAATATAAACTAATCTACATATTGTCTCCTGTGTCTAGTAATTCAATTGATGACAGGGTTGTTATGCTATGCAACATGGTGGAATCACCAAGTGTTGAAGACACAACCGCCTCTGGGCTGGTTGTTGTCTCCACCGAGCCATCTTCCATCTCTTTACATCCCAAAGGTACTGCTTGCCTTTCTATTACATCCTCCTCAGATTTACAAGATTGATGCATCAAATCAACAATTGAATGAACAGTAGCATGCCCTTCTGGTTCTGTTTCACAGTCCAACATAACAGTCTCATTAGGATCTGGAATAACCTCTGATTTCTGTTCCCCATTAACAGAATCTGGAATTTTATCTCCTTTCCACTCATTATTAACTGATTCAGACCCCTTTTCTGACTTATTCATGCACGCCAGCGTGAAGTTCTCTTTACTATCTGGAGATAGATCTATTTTCTGCTTCTTAAGAACAGGTTCATGCATGAAAGATGAACCTGGGAACTCTTCACATGAAGCTTTCTCCTTTTCAGCTTCCTCCCTTGGAAGGATGTCAATATCTGATACATCTTGAGCACAACCTTTCCCTGAATTAACCCCATCAATGGCCATATTTTGTCTATGTGGACAGTTAGGGGGGTTCCTCTTACGGCATTTATGGCATCTAAACCCAAGAAGACCATCAATTGTTTTGGCAGTAAGCCCAAATGCATCTGCATGAAACCAATCTGCACAATAGAAAAGAAGCATGTACTTTAGCAAATGAAAATCTTTAGTTACAAGGCCTTGGGAGAAAAAAAAAAAAAAGAAAAAAAAAAACTAAAGGTATTGAGGAACACCAAAAACTAGTACCTTCACAGTTTTCACAACCAACATAAGCCAAGGAAGGTGTATGTCCAGCCTCAAAACAAAGGCAGCATTTGGGTTGCACAAGAGTGTCACTTGAACTTTTGGATGGAAGAATAAGCTTTCTTTCTCTAAAAGGCAGCATGCGATCATCATTTGCTTTGCGAGAGAGATGCAGACCATTCAGCCAGTAAGTATGGTAAATTTTTGTTCTTTTCCTCTTGGGCCAACAAGTTTCCTTCTTAGACTTATTGGACATCCTCTTTTTTGTTTGACTTTTTTTCCCTTTCTTGTGTCTACCAATTTGTTTGCTTTGCAGAGACAAGTACTTCACTTTCTTGGTTAAACACTTTGGCTTTCCCTCTGCAGATGATTTCTTGCTGTTCAGTGCTCCTACCAGCTTTCCATTCTTGGAGGCTTTTCTACCATTTTGTGATCGTAATGGCTGTACCTCTGTAGAGACTTTCTTATTGAATCTAGATCGTAAAACCCGTCCTTCCATGGGGGGCTCCTTACTGACTTGTGTCTGTATTAGCCGTCCATGCATGGGGGTCTTCTTACTGGTTTGTGATTGTACTGGTCGTCTTTCCATGGAGATCTTCTTATTGGCTCGTAATCGTACTGAACGTCCTTCCGTGAGGACTTCCTTGCTAGACTGTAGTCGTCCTAGCTGCCCATCTGCAGAGGCTTTTTTGCTCTTCTTTGATTTTGTTTTTCCCCGGCGTGTTTTTCCCTTCATATGCTTAATATCCTGATTGATGCATTTGTGGCATGTATATATGCTTTCAGAAAAGGTGGTCCCTTTAGATTTCTTGACATGCCTTTTATGGAAAAAGCCTGAAAAAATGAATGTTTTAGAATAGAAATCAGACCAGGCCAATAATTGCAAAAGATTGGCAAATGTAACACCACAGAGAAGAATGCAAGATTATATCTCATGAATCATTTATATCAGTTTTTATGAAAGAGAACAAGGCTCCTTGTTCAATCTGCTTTGTATGACCAAACTTCTATGCATAAGTAGGCATTATCTGAATTCCAAAGTAGCCCTGCTATTTTAGAAAGATCAAATCAGTTCAGTTGAATTCCTCATGTTCCCACTAAGAACTAGCCACTGAAAAGGTTTAGATTCTAATATGAACATCACAAATTGCAAAATGCCAAATATCATTAACCACAAGGATATGTACCTTGATGTGAAACAACAAAGCAATCCAAAAATAATAATAACAAAAACAGAAGAGGTTTCCAATCCCAATCAGGAATTTCAGTGGCTCTTTCTTCATTTTTTCCTATGATACCAAGAGATTACTTGCCTATTTGATTTACTTAAGATAGTAAATTGATTTATTTTCAATTTCAAACTGCAGAATGGTCTATTTATGGTACATATCATGGCAAAGGTTCAATTTTGAATTTATTAAGTGTGTTGCATTTGTAATTTTATATTTCTATATAGGCAGTACTATTTTTCATTTGCCTGTCCAAAAAATGTACTTTATGTTTTTATCTTCTTCCAATGCTATAAGACAGATTTACTGTAGTAGTGTAATTCTCACTTATCAGGGAGATAAGAAAATTGGAGAGACAAAATAGTTATCTTTTTCAAAAAAAAAAGTTTTTCTTTTTTTACTCATAAAAAGAAAAAAAAAAAAAAAAACAGGGAAAAAAACATTCTTAACAGTTATCCTGGAACTACACTACAGCAGTAACAGGGAAATGTTTGATCTGGACAAACTGATTAGAAGGGGATTTGACATATCAAATGTTCCTTGGGCTCTTTGACAAGAGGTGACAGAGTCATCAAATCACTTGTTATGTTACTCATAACTGGAAATTTGGGGTGTTTGTATGAATATAGTTTCTACAGATTTTAGCAGTACAGCAATGCCTTCCAGACTCCTTTATTAGGCAAATTATATAGTCAGCAGATAAAAAGTTTAAAGGGACCAAGGCTCTATGGACATCTTTCCTTTTGCAATCTTTAGTTTCTGTTTGATATGGTAGAAACTTGCATATCTTTAAGCACCAAAAAATAGCAACAAAAAAGGCAAACACATGGTTTACCCATGGATATAGTGCTGCATGGGTACAAACATAGGAGTAGGAACCTGGAGTGAAACCAAAAGTCTGACTCAGCAAGCTAAAAATTTAAGAATTCAATTAACACACAAAAAAAAGTGTATGTGCATTATGTGTGTATATACTATACACATATAAGTACATAAGTATCAAAGTGTGTGTGTGTGTGTGTGTCTAAAGAAGGCTTTTTAAATATGCTTTGAACCAAAGAAAAAACAATGCTCTGGAGCTATAAAAATCAAATGATAAAAAGACCTTATAAAATTATTATAATTCCTTTACTTTGTTTTTCTTCATATAACACATCCATATAATAGAATCACAAATACCACTTTATGCATGTCACTTATACCATATTTTAGTAGTTATAAACCCTAACTATGTTGTACATTTGGTCACTGTTTGATGTAATGTGAAATAAATATTTTTCTTTAATTACAAAAAAAAATAGAACTGTTTCTTTTTACTTTTTCTATTTGTAGTATAAGAATATACATATAAAGTAAATTTAAGGCTGTATAATTAAGCATGTAATAAATTAATTGTTGATTCATCTACCATGTTATGAGTTAATGTGCCTCAGATATCAGATCAGAACAACATAGCAGGAGAGAAACATAAGGAGACAACAGGATTCCCATCAACCAAAATATAAAGATGATGAAAGAAATTCCATTGCACATTGATTGGATACAAACTTTGAACATCAACACATAATAGTTATGACATGATTTATCAAAAAGGTAATAGTTATCGCATGTTCATCTTGCCAATGATTTTTTTGGTCATTGAAGTTATTGTTTCCTAAGATGTTTAAGTTGGTTTCCTTTTTCAGTATACATTGTCAAATTTGTCAATTTTCAAAGCATTTAGAACTTCAGATTTTCCATTTGATACATACCGATGTTTCAGGACCATGCTATCTTCCAATTATCGGTGGTTATCAGTACTTTATCCTATTTACGGATGATTATTCTCATTTGATATGACTGCTTTCGTTACATTCTCATGATAAAGTATCTAAGATAATCAATAATTTTTATGCTAAGGTGAAAGTCCAATTTGAGAAAAAAATTAAAATATTTTGTTCTAATAATGCAAAAGAATTTTGAAAGAACCTTTCTTCTTTCCTTGAAAAGAAGGGGGTAATCTATCAAAGTTCATCTGTATATACTCCTCAACAAAATGGTATAGTAGAATGGAAAATCACCATTTTTTGGAAATTGCAAGAGCATTAATGTTGAGTCCCTACATCCCACTTCGGTTTTGTTGTGATATTTGGCAAACAACTGCTTGCCTTATTGACTGAATGCCATCCAGGTTCCTGCAATTTGCATCTTCTCATCAACTATTGTTTCATGATCAATCACCTTTTTCACTTCTTTTGAGAGTGTTCAATTATATTTGTTTTGTTCATGATTTGAGTCCAAGTCAGTCAAAATGTGATCCTAAAGCCGTAAAAGGGATTTTCTTGCAGTATTGATTTGTTTAAAAGCAGTACTATTGTGTTGACCCCACATCAAGGAAAAGATTTGTTATCAAAGATGCACCTTTCACTGAGTCCACACCATTCTTTTCTACTCATTTTTTCTTCAAGGGGAGAATAGTCATGAAGAGAGAATTCACTTTATCTCTTCCTATTGTTCCTGTTAATACTATTGATGCTCCTCTTGATGCTACTACTACTACTAAGTTGCCAAACAAGGGGTTGTAGGTATACTCTCATTAACTAAAGTAGATGGATTCCATTGCCATCTAAGACCTTAGACACAGCTTCCACTTCTACTATTATTCCTAAAGATATTCATTTATTTATTGTTGTATGAAAAGGTAGCAACAAAACTCAGTAAGGTTTTAAAAGGCTAAAAGCAGAGGCAAGGCAGTTCGGTGTCAGGCATAGACCCCTAGGAATTTTGAGGCATAAACTTCAAAGTGAGTGTGTGAAAACTCACTCATTCCAATACCACTTAGATTAAAAGGAAAATTGTATAAAACAGTTGTAAGGCCAGGTATGCTGTATGAAGCAGAGTGTTGGGCAGTCAAGAAACAATATGTTCAAAAACCGTAAGCGTGGCAGAAATGGGCATGCTGAGATCAATGAGTGGAAAACTAGAAAGGATATGATCAGAAATGAAGTCATTTAAAAATACCTAGGAAAAGCTCCAATAGGTGATAAAATGAGAAAAAGTAGACTAAGACGGTTTAGTCACATGCACATAAGACCATTAACAGCACCCATAAGAAAAGTGGTTTGTTGCAAGTTGAAGGGGCTGGGGTAGACAAGAAAGAACATGGATAGAAGTAGTAAGAAATAATTTAAGCACCAATAATTGAACAATGGATTTGGCATTAAACAGAATGGAATGGCAACAGAATCACGTAGCCAATCAAAACCCCCTTATACTTATTAACCCACAGGTGCTTCTTCACATTCGGGACAGAGTTGACAGACCACTACTCCCAACCCCAACTTCCCACATTTCACAGTTCAGGAGATAGATCTTCTCAATCAAGCTATGGCTCAATTGAAACATGCTTCATTTGCCAAGACAAGTATAGTCTCTGCCTTCAATATTTGTTTATTCCTCACCTCCTTGTTCCCGGTTTATTGACTTTGGGGCATCAGGACATATGTCAAGTGTGTCTTTTTTGTTTACATCATATCACCTCACTTCTGGTTAAGATAAAGTGGAAATTACTGAAAGCTCTATTTCCACCATTTCTAGGAAGGGAGACATTATCCTTGGAAAAGTCCTTACCTTAAAATCCATGCTACATGTTCCTAACTCTACCACAAAATCTATTGTCTGCATCTAAGATTACCAAGGATTTAAATTGTTGTGTAACCTTTTGTGTGTTTAAAGACCAGGTGATGAAACAAACGATTGGGAGTGGTCATGAAGCTAGAGGTCTCTACTTCTTGAGTTGTTGCTTTACAGGCGTCTAGTGGTGGTACTTTTGATAGTCAGAGTCAGTTACCAGAGTTCATTTGCGGCATGCTAGACTTGGCGATTTGTCTTTTCTTTCCTTGAAAAAATTTTTTGGGTAATATATTTATTAAAATAAAAAGGAAGATATACAAGGAGAGTGACCACAAGTCACGAGAGAGAGAGAGAGAGAGAGAGAAACAAAGCAAGCAACAGCTCCCAAAAAAGCCCATACTACAAACCCAAAAGGAACAAATCTGAGAAGACCAAAACCCAAAACACCAAGAAAAGAACTCGCTAAAACAAACAGGCCTGCAACATAAGACAAACAACCAAGCCCAAACACAGACTACAAGAAAAAAAAAAAAAAAAAACCTTCAACCCAATTCCACCCTAAGAAAACTACCCTTACAACTACGACCCAGTTCAACAATGACAAAAAAAGACACCCCAACAAAACACAACCAAGCCCTCCTTCTTTGATGCTCTCTTGAATTTTAACATTTTCTTATTTGGTCCAACCCCAAGAAGACCTCAGCCTAGCAAAAACTTTTGAGGCCAAGACATCTTTATGTTTCTTATGTTTTCTAAATCTTTTAACTGCTAGAGCGTCCCTTCCAGTTCCAAGACAGAATTTTTCTGAAAAAACCTAACACCATCATCCACTATACTTTTTTCGTTAACAACTTCTTTGAATCTATCTGCACATGAAAAATTATGAGCGTCATCAGGCACTAAGGGGCACTCAAAAGTATCCCCAATGTCCTCCCATGCAGGCATTGGAAAAATGTTTTCTAAGTCCTTGAACATCTTTCTAGTATAATCTTC